TTAATCGTAACAGAAAGAAATTGAAAGTCATATAATGAGGATAAAATGGAAGAAGAAAAGTTAGGAAAATAATTTAAATATTCATACACAAAAAATTTCAATTCTCAATTCTATAGTCTAGGCCGTGTGTATAATCAATAACTCGCAGAAAATTCTATAAATATCCTCTAGAATGTATAGTTAAACTTTTAATTGATAAATATTATATATTACATTCTATCATAAACATTTTCCATTGTTTATTATTTGTCAATGACCATTATAATAGTCGGTCTTTTTAAATATATAGCCAATTCAGCTCAACTTGACAACAAAAAAATTAGCATAATGTCACTTTAGCAGAATACCCTTTAACAATTTCATATTTAAATTTGTTTGTGCAAATTAAAATCTGCAATACCTAGCATTTACCATTATGAGTATTATTGCAGACAGCCTATACTTACTTTCTTCTTCAATGACGTATAATTCCAATAAGATCAGTTTAAGCCCACAGTCCCCTCTCTGTAAGGTACATAGGGCTATGCAGTATTTAATTCTAGGCTTATTTGTAATTTGTACAGGTATATAGAAGTGTTTTACTGAACAGTAGATATAGACATACTTCCGGAAGTAGTGATGGCAGCCATGCTGAGGCTAGCGGTACCTCTTCACCTGTAAACGGGGAAAAAGAGGAAAACAAGGAAAAAAGTAAGTGTAATTCAGAATATTTTACTTATGACTAGAAATAGCAAGGCTCAAACTAATCAGGTTCCAGTTTTCAAGAGACATATCCTGTAACACATTATTTTTATGGTTTAATATACAAATTATGATGCTCAAATTAAGATTTATCGATATTGTAAGTTTCAAAAAACATTATCTATAAAGATATTACCGAATTTAATATTTCATGTAAAGAAAGGGAGGTAATTCGAATTTAGTTTTCTATAAATTTTAAGTCAATTTTTCCAATAAGAAATGAATGCATATAATTTAATGATTACCTTAAATAATTACAAATATTTGCAATACATATTTTACATATTCTTCCATGTTTGAAAATTGACAAATTTGCATAATTACATACATATATAATTCAATGAAGAGTGGTATGCAATTCCTCGCCAGCCCGCATAGCTCAATCGGTGAGAGCGCAAGACTTGTAATCTCGACATTGTGGGTTCGATTCCCGGGCTGGCCAACTAAAATTACTAATCAGTCTTTCGGATGAGACTTTAAATCGAGGTCCCGTGTATGGGTGCTTAAACACTTGGCACGCTAAAGAACCAGGAGAAGTTCTGGAATTGGGGCATCTTTCTGTATCTGTAATTGCACTATCCTCCAAAAATCTAAAATGACTAATACTCTTTTGGAGGACTCGCCCATATGGGCAACCGGTGGTGAGTATAAATAAACGCAAATACACACAATATGCAATCTCAATTACAAAACATACAGGATCTTTAAGTCTTGTATTTTGTCTTTCTTAAAACAGATGCTTTTCTTTCTTTATGTAAATTTTACAATTTAACTTGACCAATCAAACCATGTTTTCATTTACAGAGACAATGCCAATGCGGTCGTCAAGTACCCTTCCTGTACCACATCCTAGTAGTCATCCCCCGACCCCTACCAGGATGGTTGGTACAGGATCAAACTTTGAGTTTGGAGAGGAGAGGGGTGATCTCATACAGTTTTATAATCAGGTATGTTAATGTATATAAATATACAAATCGGCAATGAACCAAGTGGGTATGGTCATCGACTTGTTTACTTCAAATGAACCCAAAGACATCAGCTTGGTTTCCTTCTTTAAAATGTAAACATCTAAAATATGTTTATGCTAGAGGTCTTTTATTTACCTGCATGTAATTGATTAATGTATACATTCTAGATAGATAGATGCATTTGCAATTAAATTTAAGCTCATACATGCCATAATTTTTTTTACTCATTTCCGGGACACTTTTCATTTGGAGATGGGTCATTGATCAGCAAACATATTTTTTTTTTAATTTACAAAGTGGCATTCAATCTATATTACCGGTATTTACAACTTGCAAATTTAATGACACCATAAACAAAAGACAGAATGTCAATTATTATTTACAGTTTTTCTATCTTTTTTAAATATTTAGGCATCGTTAATTCAATCAGTCACAGAATAGAATAAAGCTATGTTTAGTAATGACAATTAGCCATGTCGTTTACCTGAAACATTTGCTGAATCTTGTAGATTTCATCACCTCATATTTAGCGGTAATTTTCATGGTGTTTGACCACTAATAAGTGCCTCCAGGCGAATTAAATTTATACTGGCCAGTAGTTAATTACAGTGTATGACACCTTCGCTCAGGGGTAAACACTTAGTCTTTTAATTGATCAAAGGGGCACATAGATATACCAATCAAAGGATTAGTGTCACTATTGCAATGCTGTTCGGGGATAATTGTTCGTTATTAGCGTTCTAGACTAGTTTATAAAAATTTGACAATAAAATTATATAAAAATGTAAAATTTCTTGCTTCAAAGTAGATTATTTAAGATTATTTTTTTTACCGGGACATAAATCATCTCTGGGACAGGCACCTTATTTCTGGGACCGTCCTGGACATCTGGGACGTTATGGCATGTATGTTTAAGCTGCTGCACAGTTAAAACACAGAATGAAGTTTACTTGCAGGAAAAGTGGTTGTAATAATGTTGTTTTATTTATTAAATCCACGAGTATGTTAAAGAATTGATCAGATTGATTGAGAAAATCATGGCATTTATTCATATGATGTATCCATATTGTTTCAGGTTTTTATTACACAAATGCGAGCATTTGCCTTAAGATTTTCAGCAAGTCAAAATGGGGTAAGTTCATATGCAATTTTGCTTTGTAAACTATACAATATTGCTTTGTTAATAGCTGTACTTCATGTGAACAGATAAAATTGTATTGTTTATACTTGAAAAAAAAGAGGGAGATCCATGTTTGAGTAGGTAAGGTTGTTGACATGAAACCACTTGCCTCTTACTGCTGTTGGTTTGAATCCGGCTAGATTTAAGGAAACTACCACACTAGCTTAGTGTCTGCGTGTGCCTAAAATAATGCACATAGGGGCATCAGAGGTTTTCTCCCATCAGTAAAGCTGGAAAGTCTCCATATGACCTCTACTATGTTTGTGTTACTCAAAACTCAACACACACACACACAAAGTGCATTTTACAATCCTAGTTGTCATGCTGTGGATATGTCCGACTTGACAGTTTTTATCTGTGGTCATTTGGCTATAAGAATCTATGTATTGATCTCCTAGGGAAATCTTTTGAATCTAATATCTGGTGTATCAATTTACACCATAAGGCAGTGTATTGATTAGTGTGAGAAAAATTATTCTGTGATGTTCCTTGAAACTATTTGGAGTAAAGTTTGTTTTGTATAAGGTTATAACTTTATTAAGGGTAAATAAACTAACCTTATTGAGAGATGCCCTATGAGACTGTTATTTATAGTAATTAACTTGTTTATTCCATTCATAGGATGCCCCGCCTTTGTCTCCTCTTCCACCAACAAGATGCCACACAACTTCTCCACGTCGAGTTTCCAGTAAACACTCTGTGTATATTTCACCTCACAAGTCCTGGGGCGCTGCAACTAAATTACCAGACAGGAGAATGTTGTATTGCTTTAACAGGAGCCCCTCTAAGGTATTTATACTATTACAATAAATAGAGAAAAATATATAGAAAACTAGATAGTATTAAAGTTGCTCTCTTTAAATCTGTACAACTATGAATACACTTAAATAAGCAAGTTTTATTTAAATAAAGGATGGTCTACCTTGTCTAGAATTGATTTGCTTGGAGCCTGACTGGTTTGCTGATTTTGTGCACAGTCTGTAAATGAGTATGTTAGATCCCTACTCTAACCACAATAGATTTAACCACAAGCAATGACATATGATATGCTGTTTTGGTAACAAATATGCTGTGGTGAAATTCTTATTGTATCCACTAATCTGATTATTGAAATCAGACAGGTCAGGGATCTATGCATATGACAAAGGTAATAGGGCAAATTTGTTTATTTCAGTGAAAGATTAGTGTATTCCACAGATTTAAACACCAAATGTAATATTTTCACAAGGGACCTAGCTATGGTGAAATTAAAAGCGCTGAAGTTCACAGAGAAATCTAATTTTACTTTGTGGAATCATCAAAAATGAAATCTTTGTTACATGAAATTTATGTAATAAAATTGTTTTGTAAATTTCAGAGTCTAAAGGCCATAAATAACATGATTCGGTTGAAGAGTGAAAATCGACTTGAATTTTCGGGGAAACGTACATTACAAATAGACTCTAATGATGAACCTGCCGTTCCTCCGAAGAGAATTAGCTTGTTTCACAAACGACTACAGGATGTAACGTCAGATAGACAGGAACAGGCGTCAAAGGTCGTCATTGTGAAATAGATAACGTTGGTTGTTTAAAACTGATAATTTATATGCATCAATGGCATGTATGAATTCGGCCATTTTCATCATTATCTAAATATTGATTTGATCATGTGAATGAATTTATCAAATCGTTCTATTTTATCATGTCTGCACTTGTTTGACTATAACAATTAAATGACAGGAGTGGAGATGTGTGTCTGGAGCAGATGAATACTGGATTTTTACAACACTATCGTGCAGGACACCGCAGTGACTTTTGTAAATAGTGTATCATTTAGTGAAGGTTTAATTTTAAATCGTTCTCATGGCCTCGTTCGTGATGATGATGATAAAATCTTCATCAATTTTGATAGTGCTTTATAAATAGAAATTCCACAAACTGGTATGCTGAAGCAGTTCAACACTTGCCCTATTGGTAATGTAAAGTTGACCCGAGTAGAGAACCAGGCAGTCAGACCAAAATACACCCGTACTTATTGCCGACTAATTATCATAGTGATACCCTTAAAAGAAAATGGCCACTTCTAAAATGGAAGCTGGGCGCAAGTGGTTGAGAATTGGTTAATTAAATGCTGATATTACAGTCAAGAGTTCAAAGAAATTCTGTAAATCATAAAATACCTTTAATATTGTGAGCATGAAATTTTGTAGCTTTGACGCAAAGGATATTTTTTGGGGGTTGTAAAATTTAGGGACTTGTCTATTTTTGAAAGAAAGAAAAATGCGAATAAAGTAATGCAAACTAATATATTAAAGCAGATGGAATTATAAAGTGATGGGGGTTGTTATTTCAGGGATTGGGAGAAAACCATTAAAAATGAACTGTTGCACAAATAATAATGATTTTGTAGTATGTATGAAGTTATCAGGGATTTTGTTACAGCATATTGTGGGATTATAAATGTAAATGTTTCCTCACCAAAAATATTAATTACTATTCTGGAGAAACGGATTTATTGTATGGAAATTTTATGCACAAGTATATGGTACTGACCTTTATCAAATGGTACTTAATTTGTTGAGAATTAACTCGAGCCCTGTCATGTCTAAAAGGTAGAGTCTCTTCAGAAATCTTTGTTAAAGCAGTTAAAATTTAGACTTTCTATCATTTTCCCTAGGGTTGTGGGTTTTTATACTGATTTACAATAGACTGTGTCTGAAGATTTGTAGGTTGATCAAAACTTCATAAGACTGTCTGCATAATTGTGTCATGTTTTCATAATAGACTGTGTCTGAATATTTGTGTCATGTTTTCACAATAGACTGTGTCTGAATATTTGTGTCATGTTTTCACAATAGACTGTGTCTATATATTAGTAGATTGATCTCAAGACCACCAGCTTCCTGGGTTATAAATTAGGAAACCGGTCACAAAAGATAAATGTTTGTTGAAAAATCTGGAAATTACATGATGAAGTGTATTAAGTTTTGGGCAAAATTGAAAATCTTGTTTTTAAACAAATAGAAAAATGAGTTACATGTGTATCTATCGACTTGCCAACATTATATTTAGTTTGTGTAATTTAAATGAAATGCATTTTGCTAGATTTTCTGTTGTTACATTTTAATTGATTTGATAAAAAAGAAAAGAAAAATCCTTAACGGCAGTCTGTTATAAAGTTGAGATTTTTTAACCCAGGGAGAAGGTGTTGTGTCTGTGTTTTTACATTGACTTTTTATATACATTATAATATATCATATATGTATATATGTAACTCTACTTGGCGCACCTCATTGTTTAAACACGTCACAATCCTCACTTTGATTGAGAAATTTCATTTCTACATGAACTTTGTTTATAGCACTTAGCCAGTGGTACACTGTTTCCTTTTGAAATATCAGAAAATATTTTTTTTTCTAACATTTTGGAAAACTGTCAAAGCTCACCAGCTTAGGTTACTGATACAAAGAATATATTTATTTATAACATTGTTATATTTTGCACAAATGTAAGAACATTTTGTACATCTGACCAAAAAAAAGGAATGAAAGAAACTTTGTGTAGAAAAACACTTTCTTGCTTCACATAAGCTTAATTTTACAGAGATTTATGAAGGAACCATTTTAAAGCAGTTTTCCCCCTCTGAACCAAAACGGGTGCCGCATATACTTTGTGTGCGACTTTTTGAGCGACTGTTTTGTTACATAAAAAAAAATGTTTAATGATGTCAAATTAAATTAAAGTATTTTCTTATACCTTGGTTGCTGACATCGGATTGCTTTGTTGCTGAAGTCTTTTATCATATCTGCTTTAATGATAAAGTTGTGAGGGACTAAATTTTCACTCTAATTGTATATACATCCTGGATTTAAGGTTACTTTTTTCTGAACTGTGTCAATCTCGGGATGTGCATTCATTTGTAAGTAACAGTGTGTGCTGTGTGTAGAAATGAAGTGATTTAGGATGAAAGAGGGATTGTCAAATAATACTACCCATACATGCATATATACAAGTATGTTGATTCCAACAAGCTATTATATGAGATACACAGATAAATGTAAATCTCTGTTTTCTATGGGCTGGGTAATTTTTTGTTTTAACAGGTAAAGTTTATCAGTTGCTGTACAGTAACAGTTGCTGTAACAAGTTTTTTAGCTCACCTGTCACAAAGTGACAGGGTGAGCTTTTGTGATCGCTTTTCGTCCGGCGTCCGTCGTCCGTCCGTCGTCCGTAAACTTTTACTTTAAATGACATCTCCTCAAAGACCACTAGGCCAATTTCATCCAAACTTCACAGGAATGTTCCTTTGGTGGTCACCTTTAAAAATTGTTCAAAGAATTTAATTCCATGCAGAACTCTGGTTGCCATGGCAACCGAAAGAAAAAACTTTAAATATCTTCTTTTAAAAAACCCTAAGAGCTAGAGCTTAGATATTTGGCATGAAACATCTTCTAGTAAGTGTCTACAAAGTTTGTTCAAATAAAAGCCCTGGGGTCAAAATTGGCCCCACCCCAGGGGGTCATTGATTTTCCCTATATGCATATAGTAAAAACTTAAAAAATCTTCTTTTAAAGAACCCAAAGAGCTAGAGCTAAGATATTTAGCATGAAACATGTTCTAATGAGTGTCTACCAAGTTTGTTCAAATAAAAGCCCTGGGGTCAAAATTGGCCCCGCCCCAGGGGGTCATTGATTTTCCCTATATGCATATACTAAAAACTTAAAAAATCTTCTTTTAAATAACTCAAAGAGCTAGAGCTAAGATATTTAGCATCAAACATGTTCTAATAGGTGTCTACCAAGTTTGTTCAAATAAAAGACCTGAGGTCAAAATTGGCCCCACCCCAGGGGGTCATTGATTTTCCTTATATGTGTATAGCAAAAACTTAAAATCTTCTTTGAAAAAACCCAAATAGCTAGAGTTTAGATATTAAGCATGTAACATCTTCTATTAAGTGTCTACAAAGTTTGTTCAAATAAAAGCCCTGGGGTCAAAACTGGCCCCGCCCCAGGGGTGTCATTGTTTTTAACTATTTGTGTATAGTAAAAACTTAAAAAAAATTTTCTTTTAAAAATCCCAATGAGCTAGAGCTTAGATGTTTAGCATGAAACATCTTCTTATGGGTGTTTAGCAAGTTTGTTCAAATAAAAGCCCTGGGGTCAAAATTGGCCCTGCCCCAGGGGTCATTGATTTTCCCTATATGCATATAGTAAAAACTTAAAAAATCTTCTTTTTAAGAACTCAAAGAGCTAGAGCTAAGATATTTAGCATCAAACATGTTCTAATAGGTGTCTACCAAGTTTGTTCAAATAAAAGCCCTGGGGTCAAAATTGGCCCCGCCCCGGGGGTCATTGATTTTCCTTATATGTGTATAGTAAAAACTTAAAAAATCTTCTTTGAAAAAACCCAAATAGCTAGAGTTTAGATATTAAGCATGAAACATCTTCTAGTGAGTGTCTACAAAGTTTGTTCAAATAAAAGACCTGGGGTAAAAATTGGCCCCGCCCCAGGGGGTCATTGATTTTCCTTATATGTGTATAGCAAAAACTAAAAAATCTTCTTTGAAAAACCCAAATAGCTAGAGTTTAGATATTAAGCATGAAACTTCTTCTAGTAAGTGTCTTCAAAGTTTGTTCAAATAAAAGCCCTGGGGTCAAAACTGGTCTCGCCCCAGGGGTGTCATTGTATTTAACTATATGTGTATAGTAAAAACTTTAAAAAATCTTCTTTTAAAAAACCGAATGAGCTAGAGCTTAGATGTTCAGCATGAAACATCTTCTTATGGGTGTCTACCAAGTTTGTTCAAATAAAAGCCTTTGGATTAAAATTGGCCCTGCCGGGGGGGGGGGGGGGGTGGGGGGGGGAAGTTCATTGTTTTTTCATTATATGTGTGTAGTAAAAACTTAACATCATGAAACATCTTCTAATGGCTGTCTTCCAAGTTTGTTCAAATTAAAGCCCTGGGGTTTAAACTGGCCCCGCTCCAGGGGCCTATATACAGGTGAGCGACCTCAGGGCCATCATGGCCCTCTTGTTTATTATTATTATATATTATTACAAGATAAAGTTTTATAAATTTCCTGTTCATTTATACCTAGTCATTGTACATAGTAATTCTTCTAACATTCTCTTATCATGTTGTATGTGATCTCCTATCTTTATCACTCTGGCTCGTTTATTATTTGTTCTTTCCAACATAGATCTGTGGACACCTGCATTTTTTGATATATAGGGTTTACATTTGGTGAGAGCAAGTCTTTTTATTGCTGATTTTATATTTAGATTTGCATGCTGATATTTTACATTTCAGAAGATAATATTCTTCTATTTGGTACAAGTACGTTATTAGTTAATTAATTTATACGTCATAGACTGCAGGTAAACAGTGATGTTATTTTGTATTTGTTTTTTATTTTCTTGTCCTTGATATTAGATTTCTTTCATAAAATATGAACCTCTGAACTTGATACTTGTGGACTTATGGTGGACATGTCTGACTTTTCTTCTTGTTAGTATTATAGGACATAAGACAAATCTGGCCTATATAAGTAGTGTTTTACAGCCAAATAATTCTGATGTCCTGAATGATGCTAGCAATATTGTGGGGAAAAAATTTTTGCTGCAAAGGGCATTTTTGGTATTGAAGTTTTCTTATTAAGAAATTTTTAAAATGAATATAATAATGAAGAAGACTTGGGGAAACAGCTATTGAAATTGAGGTACTATATACAGGCTGCTCCTGTCTTTTGATATTGAAAATATTTTGCTAAACTATACCTATCATTTGATATTCATGAATTTCATTTGGTGGATATTTTATTTCATGTACTATGTTAAATAATGTAATATAGAAGACATTTTAATGAGATGATATATGTTTGTATATAAAGCACAGTGTTAAATTGAAAATAGAATCATATGTGTATCGAATGTTTTCTACATGTTACAACATGAGTATATCAATTTATGGAAATAAAAAAAATAAATGATTTTTATGTCTTTTCCTCTTGTTTTTTATCCCCGCCTTTTTTTGATGTCCTTCCGTCCGTATTTCGTTTTCGCTAGTTCCCTGCAACTACTGGCTGGAATTCAACGAAACTTTATGGGAACCATCATTATCAAGAGATGAGCATATCTTCTCCTTGTTCCGGTCAGACCCTTCAGAGTTATGGCACTTGATTAGTTATGCATAAAGAGCAATAATCGTTTCCGCGCTATTTCTGCAACTAATGGCAGGAATTTAATTAAACTTAATGAGAACCATCAATACCAAGAGAAAATGTGCATATTGTTGTCTTATTTAGGTCGGACCTTTCAACACACATTTTTGACCCTTGATTAGTTCTGTAATACGCATATAGAGCAATATTGCTATTTCTTTGCGAGTGCTGAATTATTTCAATAAAACTTTATTGGAATCATCCATACAAAAAGGCAATTTACATCTCATTGACTAACCAGATAATACTATTAAACACTGAGTTATGGCCTCTATTATTGAATTTTATCATGTGCAAAGAATATTAAATTACTGCAATAGGCCTTCATTACATATGCTTTTTTTTTAGCTCAGATGGCGACAGTAGTCTGTTGTTGACCACAATTTCGTCAATATTTTTTGAACATCTGTTATACTTTGGGTAGCCTTATAAATGGCCGATGCTGGTAACAAAAGCTAATTTTTGTGCCCCTTCGATGGGGGGGGGGGGCATTTAGATTTAAAAATACCCTTGTCTGTCCGTCCTTTCCCTTTTGTGTCTCACGTAGCTCAAAAAGTAATTTACCTAGAGTCATGAAACCTTACAGAAATGTTGATCAGCATGTGAAGTTGTGCATCTGGGTCTTTTCGTGTGGATATTTTGAGTATTTTTAGAGTTATTGCCCTTGACTTAGTAATAATTAACATTTTTCTACTTGTGTCGCACGTAACTCAAAAAATATTTGACCTAGAGTCATGAAACCTTACAGGAATGTTGATCAGCATGTGTAGTTGTGCACCTGGGTATTTTCTTGTGGATATTCTTAGTATTTTTAGAGTTATGCCAAATAATTCCAATTTTCAACTTGTTGTACGTAACTAAAAAAGTATTTGACCTAGAGCACCTGGCTATTTTCGTGTGGATATATTTAGTATTTTTAGAGTTATTGCCCTTGAATTAGTAAAAATGTCAAATTTTCAACTTGTGTCGCACGTAACTAAAAAGTATTTGACCTAGAGTCTTGAAACCTTACAGGAATGTTTCTCAGCATGTGTAGTTGTTCACCTGGGTATTTTCGTGTGGATATTCTTAGTATTTTTAAAGTTATTGCCCCTTACTTAGTAAAAATTTGCAATTTTCAACTTATGTCGCACGTATCTAAAAAAGTATTTGATCTAGAGTCATGAAACCTTACAAGAATGTTGCTCAGCATGTGTAGTTGTGTACCTGGGTATTTTTGTGTGGATATTTTAGAGTTATTGCCCTTGACTTAGTAAAAATTTACATTTTTCAACTTGTGTCGCACGCAACTAAAAAGTATTTGACCTATAGTCATGAAACCTTACAGGAATGTTGCTCAGCATCCTGGGTATTTTCGTGTGGATATTTTTAGTATTTTTATAGTTATTGTCCTTGGCTTAGTAAAGATTTACAATATTTGACTTGTGTTGCACGTAACTCAAAAAGTTTATGACCTGTAGGCCTGAAAGTTTACAAGTATGTTGGTCAGCACGTGTACTTATACACCTTTGGGTTTTCTTGTGGCATTATTCGGTACTTGTAGTATTTGCCCTTTACTTAATAAAAGATTTTTAGTTTGCAACTTGGGCACATGTAGCAAAAAAATATTTGACCTAGAGGCATAAGATTGACAAATCGGCGAGGTGTGGGGGCACCCGTGTCCTATGGACACATTTCTAGTTAAAACTAAAAACTCTTTTAAGAGGCACATTATGCCTCGGAAAGCAATAAATATTTCTTTTTTAGAAAAAGAAAATACGAGTTTTATACCATTTAAATAATAGAGCATATTAGATGCTAATCGCCTGAAAAAATGTTGTCCTGAATGTGCAATAGTTTGCCATTATTAAATGGAAAATATAAACAAAATAGTACTTTTACTTGTCTTCCATACTAAAT